CCCCCCCCCCCCCCCCCATGATACCCCCCTAGCTGCGGGCCCAGCCTGCCTGTCCACTGACCTACTCTGCCTCCAATCAGACCAGGTGTAACAGAATGAAACTGAGCAAAAGAAATGTAGGCTGAACATTAGGAATATTTTCCTTACAGTGAGATCTTGACCTATTAGTGCCTGCTCCTCCTCTCACACAGGTTGTACACCGGTGTAACTCCACTCCAGATCTCCAGCTGGGATCAATCATTGAGTTCAACAGAGCTATGCAGAGCTACACAACCTGCAGATTTGGCCCCAAGGCCAACTTCCATAGAGTTACACCTGGTTTATGCCACTGTAAGCGAGTGCAGAATCAGGTCTCTTGAAGCTGGAAACGTTTCCTAAGGGAACTGGAGGAATACCCATCATGTTGAAATAAGGTAAAATCCTACTGAACAAAGCATTCAAGAATATATAGCAGGAAACAATCTGCACTGACCCCTGGGAGTTGGATTACATGACCTAAAAGGACTTTTCCATCTCTAAGGCATAGGAAGCTGAGAACCAGCTTAGTTTATGGACCCTCTTATTAAAACCCCAGTAGCATGTATCCCCTTGCTGCCTCTGTTGCCACAATACTAATATTGATCTACAACCTAAGTACTGGCCAATGCTTCCACCTCAGACACTAAACATGTGTTGGAAGGAGCAGCTTCCTCTGAGGAAGCAGAAGAGGCAGGAGTCTTCTCATCAGCATCCCCTGCTTTGATTATTCTGATGGAGTTTTCTTTCTTCGAAAGCCAAAAAGCAGGGTAGAGCGGCTCAGCAAATTCACACTCAAACTTGTGTATCAGAGTCATGGTGTCCAAGGTGACACCATAGAAGGACAAAGTGCCCTTGGGGTAGTCCAGATAGACCCCTATCTTGTTGAACGTGTCTGTTTTCAGTGGCGTCTCCACATCACTGTGCCATGCAGAGAACCCCTTGCCATGCCACTGGATGCTCCAGGAGAAGTTATTCCCCGAGATGCAGCTGTTGCTTTCTGACCCCTTCCGGTCAATGCTTTTGTACGTCATACCAATGTAAATGCCGGCTCCGCTTATTTCAGCCTCAAAGTAGTAGCGACCCATGTACAAGCTGTTGTCTGACAGCACCTGGCGCCAGTGCTCAAATCTTTCAGGGTGATCTGGGTAGGAGTGTTCCCAGGGTGTGGTGTTAGTCACTTTGTGGTTGTCCTCCAAGAGCCTGAGATATCTGTGGGCTGTGACTGAGTCAAACGTTAACGGGCATGAGTCTAAATAGAAAAGAAAATTGTTACTGAAATGGCTAACATGGCCTCTCCAGTGGGCACTCTCCATGTTGGTTAGCCCAAGATATGAGCTATGGACCCTATTCCACTATTACACACACTCCATTACCTGAGCATCACTGGGCAACTGAATACCTTTGTATAGCCCAGGCAATTTTCACCGGGATTGAAAGAAGCTATGGCCATGCTCATGTTTCAGCCGTTAACAATTAAGACAACTAAGATACAGATAATCCAAGATTAACTACATAACCAGATCACTCTCTAGAAACTTCTTCCAAACTCCCATTCCCCTCTCCCCCAGAGCCTCATCTGCTTTAGAGTCATTAATTCCAATACTTACACTTGAGAAAGTCACTCCTAGTCTCTGGATCTGGAGCCGATATGCGGTGCCTGGATGGTACAATTGCAGACACCATCGTTTTGATCCCACAGTCCTCTTCAACAACAAAAACACAATTAGCATTCCCAGAACTAACCCTGTGAGTTTGTTCGAGGTGGGATACCAATAGCATAGGGGAATGGAGCATATGCTCCATGCCATTGCTGTCTGACAGAGGGATAGAATATAAGAATGGCCACACTGGGGCAAACCAATGGTCCTTCTAGCCCAGTTTCCTGTCTTCCAGCAGTGACTGGTGTCAGATGTTTCAGAGGGAGTGAACAGAACAGGGGAATTAGCAAGTGATCCATGCCCCTCATCCAGTCCCAGCTTCTGGCAGTCAGGGGTTTAGGGACACCCAGAGCATGGGGTTGTGTCCCTGACTATCTTGGCTAATAACTTCATGGAGGATCGGTCCATCAATGGCTATTTCATTCTTTTTTGAGTCCAGTCATACTTTTGGCCTTCACAACATCCCCTGGCAATGAGTTCCACAGGTGGACTGCGCGTTGTGTGAAGACCTGTTCTATTACATTGTTATCAGGATTAAGAACCAGCAGTCTGGTTCCACGGACATTTAATTTGAACAAATAGTTTTGTGAGCACACACAAACATTGGGCCCGATTCTGATCTCTCACTGCTAACTCCATCCTTCGACTCTCTGCACTTTGGGGTCAGAGCAGTGGAACAGCCCCTACCAGAACAGGACCTGGAATGGAGCTTCTAGGCACTACTGCAGTGGTTTTCATTTGCAGACCCCTAAACATTTTCAAATGGAGGTGCGGACCCCTTTGGAAATCTTAGACAGCCTGATCCCCGAGGTCCACAGGCCACAGGTTGAAAACCACTGCACTGCTGTAACACAAATGACAATCAATAATATCATCAGTGTGAAGCTGGCGTGAGTGAGATCAGGATGAGGCCCACTGAATCCTGGCCTCCTGGGACTTTGTGTAAACAATAAGGGGAAACATGATGTAGACGAGTCAAGCACAAAATGTCACCTGCCGAGACCTTCTAGGTGGCTTGCAGAGCTACATCTGTCTCAACTATGGCTAGGGAACACTCCTGGCAAGTTACTCCAGCCTAAAGGCAGTAGAAGAGCTGATTGGGTAGCTTACTGCCTCAAACGCAAGAAAAGGGCTGCACTTAACCCCACATCTCTTCAGACATGCCTAGTCTTGGTGCCTGCCTTGCCTCTTGCACTCAAGTGTTAGGGAGTAGGGGTGAGGTGCGGTTGAGACTTATTCAGTGCAATGGACAATGCCTGGTGCTTGATTGTATTTGTGCAGGCGCATGTACAGCAGAGTGCTACAGCCTCACAGTTCCTGCTGCACACCACCCTAGGAAGGGCACTCTTGGCTGGTGTAGCACAGTCCAGGACATTTTTAGGGCTTCATGATGTTTCTCTGATCAGCTAAACTCAAAACACAAGACCCACTCTGTACGCTAGGCAGCTGCTTCATGTCCTTCCTTGCCAGGTGTTTCTCTGGCATAAACCCAATCATACTCAAGCATGGAGAAATGGGAGAGAGAGCAAACCCAGAGGAGAACAGAATCAAACTGCAAAGCAACAGGTGGAGTTGAGAGCAGTGAGGGCTGCAGGTCAGTCCCAATAAAAGTAAAGTCCTTCATTCAGGGAGAGTCAATAAACAGCAAGATAGAAAACAGGAGAGGTGAGACTATAAGAAATCAGCAACAGCTATCACACTGTACCCACTAAAGGGCAGGACTGAAATCACGGGGGAATGGGAGAAGCAATAGCTTGAGATGACAAAGGTAAATTTCTATGCTGGGGCTAGGATGGGCGTCACCAGCCCTATGCCATTGGTATGAAGGGAATCCCCATGTGACTGGTTAAGCTGCCTTTCTGGCTGCTTTGCACTGCCGGAGTGTCACCAAACAGCCAGCTCATGGAGGATAATTGTGGGCAATGTTTATAGAGCTTTTGGAGATCCCTGGATGGACAGCAGTAGAGAAGGACAAAGTGTTATTATTAAATTGCAGTACTCGTTTATTCCAGAAAAAAAAAACCACCACATTTGCTATAAATGCCACAACTCATATGGAGTTAAAACCTGCTAAATCGCCATGGATTCCACAGCTCCCTCCCCTGTCCGTATGTTTCTCAAGGAAATAACTTCAATCCCCAGGTGGCGGAGTTGATTCAACTGGGAAAGAGCCTGGTTTCCTTGCTGTCACCTCCAGCTCACACCTGACTTTGTGTCAAGACTAGGGTGACCAGACAGCAAGTGTGAAAAATCGGGATGGGGGGTAATAGGAGCCTATATAAGAAAAAGACCCCAAAATCGGGACTGTCCCTATAAAATCAGAACATCTAGTCACCCTAGTCAAAACTGCCAGCAAGGCAGGATTGATGCTGTGGCCTCCATAAAGCACTAGCACCTAATAGCAAATAGCCTTTGCTTTGCTGGGGAAAACAGGAGTGACTACATATAAACAAGTGTAATTGACGAGCGCCAGCTGATAACGTTAATGCATTGGAGGGTGAGGAATTCAGCTAGATCCTCATATTGCTTATCAGATTTCTATTGTGGACTTAAAAGGTGTTAGGATGCAACCTAGGTAATATCCAGGCCTTTTCACATAGTAAATCATTAACTGCTGATTGCAGTGGGTTGATCATTTGAAAGAAAGACTGGGACAAAGTTAAATAGTGAGGGGAGGGGGAAATACCTGGAAGGTTTATACATTCTGCTTGCTCTTTTCTAATCACAGTATTGTGCTTAAATAGAAACATCACCCCCAACACGCATACCCCTTAATCAACCCACATTTCCCTCATGCTTGGACGTCCAGTAAAATTGCAAGCTCTACATCACAATCTGTTACCATAGGAATCAGTGTGTGATGTTGCAAATCCAGCATGATGATCTCATTGCAGACAGGAAGGATCGTCTGGTGGGTTCTATTCCTGACTCTGCCACTGTGACCTTGGGATTGTCAATTCCTGGGGGCCCGGGAAACATGCATTTTATCAGGGCCTCACTTTTGCCATATGGTGACAGGACTAAAGTGTTCATACAAACCCACACACTGCAAATGTGCATTTAAACAGCTGCAAGGCAGAGGGTGAGACTCACCTTCCTTTGCAAACTCCTGGAGCTTTTCCTTATAGGTGGTTTGTACAAGCTGTAGCAAGTGTTCTGTTGACTCTGAGATGACCCTTCTGATCCCTGACAGTTTATCTTTGAGTCCAATATAAACACTGGGAAGCGCGTCATCCCCCGTGTTCTTCTTGAGCTCACAATACTCCTGCCAAAAAAAAATTCTATTTTTGCTCATTTTCCTCATATATTTGGCTGATTTTGTACCAGATCCATCTCACCATAAAGTTACTAGCAAAATCCCAATTTACTTTAGTGAGAGCAGACTCTGACCCTTTCCATTCCATTGCAGCCCTGAAGAACTTAAACTCAGCTGATACAGGAACCTATATTATGGGAGATATTTAAGATCAGCTGAATATTAAGTTCACCAGATAAACTTCATGATTGTAAAGCTAAAGCCAAGGAACAGCAATCTCTGGACTTCACTACAAGCTTCCCTGTACTCTGAGGGCATTAGAAAAAGACGACCATGGTCATAAAATAATGAAGGAAACAACACACCCAGCATTTATAATGAAATGACAATGTTGTTGGCTGTAGGCTAATAATGTATCTAAGCCAGTTCCAGGGAGAACGAAGAGAAGTCTTAACAACTTCTAGAGATAAAGGTGTAGGGCAAAGTTCTATCATCTTCACCCAGGAGCTTTGCACAGTTTAGACTCAAACAAGGTGGCCTTTAGACGTCTGAAACATTTTCCTTCTTTAAAAGCAAAGGTGAAAAAAATCTCTCCTTTTCTCTCCTCCTAGAAGATTTCAGAGCACTTTAGGGCTGGGAGGCGCTTTTGACAATCCCAGTCTTACACTCCACAGCCTAAGGAGGGCCAATCAGTTCTGAATTTGGTGTCAGAATCTCCATTTCAGATTACAGGAGATGTTCTAAGAAGGCCTGGCACCATTTTTCAATTATAAAATGGCGCAATGCAGTCTGATCGTACTGCACACTTGACCTGAACACCTCAAACCAGACACTAATCTACAAACACACCATCCCCCGGGTCTTTATAATGGAAAGGCCTTGTCCATCATGGTACCTTAAGGAACAGGATGTCACTGGTGTAGAGGGCCATCTTCTCCAGCCTGAGTTTATTCTCTTCCATGGCAGCACGCTTGTGCTCCAGATGGATCTTTATCCCGTTGGCTTGATTCACCGCCACACGCTCCTTCTCCTCTAGAAATGCCAGTACATCCGAATGGGCCATCTTGACGGCTTCCAAAAGCTCCCCAAACTGCCTGGACACCAGGCTCTTCACTTCGGAGATAGAACTCTACAGGGACAAAAGCCACCACTGTTGCCTTTTCCAACCAGCCTCGCTGTGTCACCATTGCACCTTCCTGGCAAATGCATCAGGATGTGGCAAACAACATTTTCTAATCACTGTGGAGATGCCTCCGTAGCACAAAGGCAGTGGCAGCAACAGCTAATGAGTGAATCCAAACCAAGGGACTGGAACCCAAGGGACTGGAACCCACGGCCCCATTTCCAGCAGATCCTGGTCTCTTCTCTTATGCCCCAACACACCTCCACACACGCACATACACACACCCTGAGAGCAGTTAAGGGCATTGGGTTTTGACTGACTGAGGGTCATAGCCAGGGAAATCCCTGTCTGTGACAGAAGGGTTAAGTGAACTTGACCTGTGGAACCACTGGATGCTGTTAAAAGGGCAACCTGTAATCCCAATCAAAGTTGCAGCAGGTGGCGAGCTGACCCAGGAAGGGGATGACATTTCTTTTCAGAACAGAGAATTGGAAGGACGAAGGAAGCATGCCCATGTAGCACTGTGTCTTCCCCTTCATTGTGTTATGGGGTTAGATCACAGTGGACCATAGGCCTGAACCAGTTATGTATGGGCAATGCATAAGACCACCAGCTAGCTCAGCTCCTGGCTATGGGGGGGTTTGACACCAACAACCCAACAGCAAGCCTTCTGAATGAGTAAGGCGCAGGGCTGACACCTCAGTTAATCCCCATCATTTCTTTATAAGTCAGCATGGAAGGATTCGATTTTTATTGGTAGGTGTCAGTAAAGATCAATTTCACCGTACACACCCAAACCGGCGAAAAAAATATTTCCATCAACAATAATCAAAATTCACAGACAGGCACAGGAAGAAACATGCTGCCTGAGCACTTGGCAGAGTTTGATTTGAGGATAGTGATTTTGGCTATTTTGACATGTGATGCTGACAATTTGTGTTGTAAAGGTTATCAAGCTTTCATTTTTTGAATCTCAACATCCACTGCCATGAAATAATTATTGTTTGACCCTCCCCATTGACTGACACCCCCATAACTTCCCACAACTGTAAACGTTTAAATGAATAAAAAAAATAAAAATGCTTAAAAATAAATATGAACACAGTCGGCTGAAATTATAAAATAAAAATAAAATTCTGCCAAGCCTATTTATAAGGCTGGTGGCCAAGTTGCAAAGCATTGAAACTTGCTGTGGAGGATTGGGGAGTTGGGGGGGGCGCTCTCGAAGTACCAACAGAGAGGGGAGAAAATCCACAGGCGGAATACCTCTGTTCCCACAATGAGCTTCCCATGTGACAAAGCACAGTACACACAGAAACAGACATGGAAGCACTTCCAATGGATAACTCAGAAGGTAACACAGTGAGAAAACAAACAGGATCCCTTCTCATTCTTGAAGTAGGACAGGTATTGTATGGCACAAGCACAGAGGATGCAGCCCCACCTGCTCTGGGGCTGGAGCCCTGCTGCTGGAAATGGAAATAAGGCAGAACTTCAATGAATCACAGGGTAAAATTCTGCCCTGATTTCTACTCAAAAGAGGTTACAGGATCTTTCTAGCAAGATGGCTACAACCAGGCTGACTTGGATCCACTCCACACTTCCTTGTAAATCAAACAAAAAACCCTCATTCTCCCAGATTATCAGAGTTGAGGACCAGATCCTCAAAGTATTTAAGCACCTAACTCCCATTTCTGCTCAGACTGCCTACAAAGAGGTGAGTCAGAACCAGTGGCAGTGGCAGGTTGATCTGAAAAATTCATCCAGAAATAGAAACTGGACTCAGACCAGCAAATTATCTCACAGAGGCTAACAGGAGGTAACAACTTTCCTCTAGATTTGAAGCAGCCACCTAGAAATGAAGGGCTTCATATCTCATCAGCCATGTCCTGAGGATTGGTCCTGGAATTACCATGAATTGTCATGCAGAAAAGAAACATCAGAGCAGTGCTATCCGGGGAAGCAGCTGTGGAGGCTGTCCCATGGAGTGAAGTCTGTGGGTTTACGTGAGTATTACGGCACCAGCACAGGACAATTTCAACAGGGTAACAATTAATATGATTAGTCACCTTTTCTAACCATTTAAACATGACACTGGTCTTTGGAAGCCCTGTGGAGATGTGACTCACCAAAGATGCCTCACACAGGCAGCTGGATTGTATGTATCATCAAACAACGGTTCTGGGTGGATGCTCCACAACAGAAGCCGGCACAAAGCTGATCTTGCCCTGGAATACTAAATCTTTTGGCACTTGCAAGTGTTCCCTCACGAGATGAGCAAACCCATTCAGATCAAAGGCAAAGCAGCCCAAAAATCTCCCCCTCAGTTCAAAACAAGCCTGAAATTCGGTGGAGTTTTTCAGCTTTTGACAGTGGTGCATTTTAATTGTCACGGAGCCGCTGGACGTCGTGATTCTACCCAGGCTAGGACCCCCACTGTCTTTTTATAGTCATTTTTCAGGGTAGAACTGCCCTTCAAGGCTGGAGGGGAGTTTGAGCTGTGACGTTGAGATGTGATCTGAGTTTGTCCAAAGAATTTGGAATTCAGTATCTCAGCATAACTGCCAGGTGAATGTTTGTTACAGGTCCCCTTCTGTGTGCAATACACAGAGGAAATGTGTTAGTTACAGCCCCATGTAGGAAGCTTTAGTTGAGCTATTGCAGCTCTCTGAGCTCCCAGTTCAATCTTTGGTGTCAAGCTGTTTTTTATGTAATAGTGGGCTCAATTCTCAGTGGTGTAAATCTCTCTATCTGAGGTAGATATCTGGCCCCCATTACTATCATGTCTGAGCACCTCACAATTTTTAACATATTGCTCCTCACAACACCTGAGAGGCAGGACAGTGCAATTCTCCCTATTGTACAAGTGGGAAGCGGAGCCAGAGGGAGACTAAGTGATTTGCCCAAGGTCACACAGGAAGACTGTGGCAGAGCAGGGAATTGAACCCACGTCTCGGGTGCGTGTCCTACCCACCCTTCCATCCAACCTGCCCCATTGGCATGTTATTGTCCTGCTTCTCAGGGTTTTTAATGGAACGTGAGTAGCAGCTTGTGACCAGAGAGGGGAGAGCAGGCCAGCGGCATGGAACAGGCATGGAGATGTCTGCGGATGACAGAGACATGGAGGCTGCATACACTTCATACATACAGGAGTGTAAGACCATTATCCAGGCTCCCGTTAAATATCATCCATCCATTTTCATGCCATTATTATGGGTTCAATTTAATCTGAGGAGGAGAAATAACCCAAGTTCTGTCCTTACCACTATAGACTGTGTATTATTCTGCAACTTGACAATTGCGTTTTCAGCAGACTTCAGTTTCCAGTCGTACTCTGCTTGGGTCTGCAGAAGTTCACTCTGTGAATGGATGAAGCAGGTGTTAACAATCCACTCTCTCAGTGATCAGACAGAATAGCACAGAGGGGGTTGTGAAACTCTATAACTGATTTTTGGTTACCCAAAGCAGCCAGCTGGAACCCATGCCACTTCCCACAGACAAGAGCAGTCCACGGACTCACAATACTCTGGACAGTTTTATTAGCTTCTGTCTGATCTGGGGAGTGTGTCATTTTTTCCAGCAACACAATAAATTAGAAAATGCTGTCTCTGCAGCTCCTGCTACCTTCAGTGCCTGGGAAAGCCTATGACAGTAACAGAAACAGCAAATAAAACATCCTTGGTCACACATGGCTGCAGTAACTAAGGCCTTGGCTACACTTACCCGCTAGTTCGACGGCTGGAAATCGAACTTCTGGGTTCGACTTATCGCGTCTAGTCTGGACGCGATAAGTCGAACCCGGAAGTGCTCGCCGTCGACTGCGGTACTCCAGCTCGGCGAGAGGAGTACCGCGGAGTCGACGGGGGAGCCGTGCCTGCCGAGTGTGGACCAAGGTAAGTTCGAACTAAGGTACTTCGACTTCAGCTACGTTATTCACGTAGCTGAAGTTCCGTACCTTAGTTCGAATTAGGGGGGTTAGTGTAGACCAAGCCTAAGCCCTAAGAAGGTTAGTCATCCAGAGCAGTGGAAGGGAAATGTCAGAATCCAAATCAATGAGTGGGGAAAATACAAGAGCCTGGGGTTTGGATTTTGCCTTGATCTTTCATACAAAGACTAGGAACAGGTGGAATGGTTAACAAACGTAAAACCAATCCCTCCATCCCACCCAAATCTTGGAACATTTCTAGACCCAAATTTGAAGCAAAAATTTTCAAGGTTCTGAAAGAAGTTTCCCTCTCACTTCTAGGGTCTGAGTCTGCTCTCATTTATACTGGTCTTCACACTTGTTTAACTCCATTGAAGTCAATTGAATTCAATGGAGTTACTCCAGATTTACATCCAAGTAGGTGAGAGAAGAACCAAGACCCTTGGTTCCACACATGAGTCAGAATGCTAAAAATCTCACAAGAAAGGCTGTTCTCATGACTTTTCCAGAGCAATTTTGAAGACCCCATAGATTCAGAGAAGGAGCCAAAAATTGGTTTATCCAGACCAATTCTAAACTCCAAATCTTCTGTGGTTCAGCCAGGAGTAACAAAAACAAGAGAGTCTGATTATTTTAATGAAATGTATAATTACCTGTGGAACTCTCTGCCACAAGATACCAAAGACAAAAGCTTAGTTAAATTCAAAGGAGTATTAGACATCTATAAATAAGACCACGTGCAGTTGTGTGAGATTACTCAGCACCCAGCAGTTCCCATTGGTTCCAATGGGAGGTGTTAGGCACTTTTGAAAGTGTGACCTCTTCACTTAGGTGCCTAGATGGGATTTCAGCTCTATTGGAAATCTGATCCTATATGCCTGCAACAAAGCTGACTGTTCCTCAAAGAGTACCCTGGGTGACTCAGAATTTGGTACCCCAATAAAATAAGCAATAGGGATTATTCACCAAAGCATCCTAGCCTTTGGTCCTTTGAGTGTCTGCCAGGCCCTATGCATCAAAAGAGAAATATATTCCACAGCACATTCCAGGCCACATATTTTGTTTTTGTTGCAACCAGTCCCCAGGAGGAATGGTATTGAGTGTATGAATGGTATTGAGATTTGGGAGGTTTTAGATAAAGGAAGAGCGGGGAAAGAACCTGCTGACTGCAGGATAACAGAAAAGGGATTAAATTCAGACTGGCTCTGAACCCTTTGAAGTCCATGGTGGAAAAGGGGAGCAGGAGAAGGGGGTTGGGACTTGGGGATGCTAACCGGAAACCTCTAACTTCAAAAATAGACTCTGGCTGTCAGATCCCAGGCTAGCATGTCAGAACAAGAAGAAAGGTTACTTCATAGATGCGGTAAGGACAACTGGGAACCACGTCTCCACCCAGTATCCAAGCTATGATTCACTGCAGCTGCCAGGACATATACTTTACTCACAGCAACGGCCTAGTCACCAAGGGTGGATACAAAGCGGGAAAGGAGAGAGGCTCCTCGGGGAGAATCAAACAGGAAAATGGGTTCCCTTACCCACAAGTCCAATCCTTCCTCATGCAAGCCATCTTGTATTAGTAAGGATGACACTTACAAGTAGGGACTGCAGGATCATGCCCCTTCCCCCAACGCCTTCCCCGCCTTATCCACCTAAATGTGTCATAGGGTAAATTTATCAAAAGCACCTAAGTAACTTGGGGCCCTAGGTCACAGTTTCAAAAGTGACTCATGGCCAGGTTTTGAAAGGGATTCAGGCACCTAAAGAGACAGGTAGGTGCTTAGTGGAATTTTCAAAAGCACCCAGGCACTGAACTCCCACTGAAATCCCCCCAAACACCTAACTGCATCTTTAGGCCTCTAGAAACCTTTCAAAAGTCACTTTTGCAAATGGGACTTGGGCTCCTGAATCCCGTAGGTCCTTTAGAAAATTTTATCCATAACAAAAAGACCAGAGTACTAACATGAAATCGCCCATTTGATTCTCACATACCATACCAAAGCCGGGTTGTTGGGGGCAGAGGGGACAGGTTATAGGCACAACTAGAATTCCCTTTATAAAGCTTACACCACTGAGACACACCACTGGCTCATTTTAAACCAGGAAACCTTTAGCCCATTCACAGATAAATCAACAGCATTTTTAACAAACCTTCCCATGCAGGTACTGCCAACAGCTATTGCTCCTGGAATGGAGCCCATTTCCCCCCAGCTGGGAGTGGGAAGGGAAGGTAAACACAAGCTGCAAAGGGCACAGATTTGTATCTCACTCAGTATAGGAAGAAAAACTCCATGTGCAGTGCAAATACTGTAAGCCCATACATACCTATGTACTCCCCAAACCAGAGTCTTTCACTGCTACACACTACACAGTGGTGCGCTCTAGGGTCAAATCCTGGAGCCTTTATTCAGTCCTTACCAAGTCAGTGGGCCCGACTCATCCCCTCACCACGTTTCACTCCTTTGTGATTCTGTTGAGCCCAATTCTGAGCTCAGAATCAGAACAGTAGTGATTTCTACCCACTTGGCACAGGGAGAAGTGGTGACACACGATCTCAAGCCCTGGAGAATCAGGCCCATTGATGTTAATGGGGTTACTCCTGCTTTATACCAGAGCGAGTGGTGGTTTTGACAGGGCAGAACCTGAGTAAAGACTTGAGGATTTGGCCCACAGCCAGGGACAACAAATCCCTCTTTGCTATAAAGTACAAGTAACTTATTAATGAAACCAAGAGCCCTACAGGGCTACAAATCAGACAGGTCCCAGGGCTCCTCTCCCTTATCGCAGCTTCAATCAGGAGTAAACCCACTGAGCCAACAGCGTAAGACCAGTGTATAAAGGCTGTGAGTGAGAAGGCCCTGGGCCCCACGCTGCCTCTATGCCCCTCTGCATCCTGGATCACTCTGTACCCCAAAGAACACCAATAAATACCAGGCAGTGACACACCTCATTGTCCTTCCTGGCTGCCTCACAGGTGAGTGAGTTGTGCCCCTTGTGCTCTTCGGCCAGGCACTCCTCACAGACACACGCCAGGTCAGTCTGGCAGAACCACCCCAAGTGGCCTTTGTGAGTCTCACAGGTCTGTAGGTCAATGTCCTTTGCGGGGTTCATCAGCTTGTGGCTCCGCAGCTTGCTGTTCTCCAGGTGAGGCCGGAGGTGGTCCTCGCAATAATTCACCATGCAGGTCAAACAGGACTTCACTGCCAGGACCTTCTGGGCCATGCAGAAGTCACACAGGATCTCTTGCCCATCCTCCAGAATGTTCCCCTGCTCCAGAAGACCAGGCTGGCCCATTGCCATCTCAGAGCCATTTACAATCAAACTGCCCTGCACGACAGGTCCCGGGCTAGTGGCTTCTGGGCTTTCACAGCCATTCAACTCTTCACCCTCAGTTTTCTCACCTGGGAGGTCATTGCCCTCACAGACCTTGTGCCCTTTTGCCTTAGTGACAGGGCCACCTAGTAACAATTCCTGGGGCAGCCCTTCTGGAGCAGCGGGGTCACAGTCAGCCATTTCTGAGCTCCTCTGCCTTCCAAGGAACACACACTCTAACTGCACAGCTCAGGGGGAATGAAAGAAAGTGACACACCTGAACTCACCCAACTGCCTGCAGCTGTTAACTCTTTCCAGCCTTTCAGGAAGTAGGAGTGCAATCAGAGCCAAGAAGCAAACAGCGAGTGAGTTTGTTCTGTGAATGACAGGCTGTGTGAGCTGTAGATAAATGCTGCTCCTTAAGCTGTCAATCTTGTCTCTGTCCCTCTGTCTCATATCTACAACCTTCCACCCGGACTTGCTGTCCTCTGTACGTCCAGCTGGAGGTGGCTGGAAAGTTGTTGGTTTTTTCACCCAAATGGAAATTTCAAATTTTCATCAGGAACCAAGAAAAATTCAACTGAAAATAAACAAAAAATTGGTTTTGGGGTTTCCAACAAAAAATCAAAGATTTTCAAGCAAAGGAGACCCTTTCTGCAGAAACTTTCATTTTGTCACATACCCCGATTCCCAATGAAAAAAAGTGTTGATGGAAAATTTTCAACCAGCTCTCCCTGTAGCCTGACAAAATGTACTATTAATAGTGAGCCAAACCCTAGTGTTATTCCATGGCACAACTTTTGAAGGGTCTAAATCTTGATGCCCTGATGAGTTTTTTATTCAAATGGAATTGTGACTGAGCCAGGACTGACTAAAATCTGAGTGAGACTGCCAGGATTCGGCCCATTAATCATATTTAATACTTGTAGGTAGGCACGCTTTTCATCTTGCAACCACTGAACTACTACTCTCTGAGAGGCTGAGTTATCGGGCAGAGATTATTTAAATCCACATGCCCTTTGGAATCTTTCTGCACAAAATATTAGCTCATGTCCTTCATTTTGGCTTTTAGACCCTCCTTTGCTCATGGGCAACACAGCCAATACAGTTTAAGTCCCAGTTTTATCATGTGAGCACTGGAGGAATTTGCTGCACTAAATGGAGATTTTTTTCCTGTGTTCCCCTTCCTCTGTTCAGAAAGGCAAGGCTGAAAAAAGTGAAACTGGTTCTTCCAGTCGATGGTGGAGTTGTGAAATAAGGGAACTTCCACTCAGGTGTCATCTCTTTTTTGGCATGGAGGAAGAAGATGGTGATAGGCATCTTTGGTGACTCCAGAATGGTTAGCATCATGCCTCTATATCTGAGGCAAAACTATTTAGGGGGTTGGGGGGTTATCCTTTGCTATTGTAAAAGACTCACAGAGTTTAAGGTCAGAAGAGACCATCATGATCATCTAGTTTGACCTGCACATTGCAGGCCACAGCACCACACCCACAGTACTGGGTTTACCATGGCACCAGTGGCACCGGGCCCACAATCAGAAGGGGCCCCGGCCAGCCCGATCCCCTGGCCGGCTGAGCTGGCCAGGAAAGCTGCCCCCGCCCTGCTTCTTCCCCATGGCCCCCACCCCTGCCCACCCCTGCTCCGTCCCAGCCCCGCATCCACTCCACCCCTTCCCCCCAAGTCCCCTCCCCTGAGCTACGCATCCTGGGGAACTGCAGCGGGGGTCGGGCCCGCCCTGCAATCACCAGGCGGCAGGAAGTGGAGCGACCCGGCCCCAGCCCGCTCTGCCGGTGAGTGCTGGGGGTTGGTTTCCCCCCTGCCCCTCAAGCCTGGGGAGGAGATGGAGCGGTGGGGAAGGGGCATGGGATGGTGAAGAGAAGGGGGCAGGGGGAAAGAGACAGTGGGGACGAAGGGGGTGGGGTGGGGAGGAGATGGGGCAGTGGGGAAGGGGCATGGGATGGGGAAGAGAAGGGGGCGGAGGAAGCGGGGGCAGGGGGGGAAGCTGGAGCCCAGCATGCGGCATCCCCTTGGCAGAAGCTGGGGCTTCCCTGTTAAGCAGGCCCATTGAACCCTCCTCCCCTGCATCTGTACCACCCCGATGAGCCCCCCCCAGACACCCTCCCCACTGAGCCCCAACCACCGGCACCTGGACCCCCACCCAAATGAACCCCACCTCCCCTGCACCTAGACACCCCCTGCTGAGCCCCAAACACCTTCACCTGGATCCCCTGCAGAGTCCCACTGCCCCTGCATTTGAAACCGCCCAATGAGGTCCTGTGCATCCAGATCTCCCACTGAGCCGCCCGCGCCCAGATTGCCCCACAGAGAACTCTCTTACCCCCACCTGGATTCCCCCAAACTAAGTCCCTCTGCACTTGGAAGGGGGGAGGGATAGCTCAGTGGTTTGAGCATTGGCCTGCTAAACCCAGGGTTGTGAGTTCAATCCTTGAGGGGGCCACTTTGGGATCTGGGGCAAAATCAGTACTTGGTCCTGCTAGTGAAGGCAGGGGGCTGGACTCAATGATCTTTCAAGGTCCCTTCCAGTTCTAGGAGATGGGATATCTCCATTTATTATATTATAATTATCCTGCTGCCGGGCTGAGCCTGCTCACCCACACCTGGTGTCAAACATACAGCTAAGGGTAGCATAAAATCCTTCTTTACCCTGTAAAGGGTTAATTCCTCTTTTACCTGTAAAGGGTTAAGAAGCTCAGATAACCTGGGTGGCACCTGACCAAAAGGACCAATAAGGAGAGAAGATACTTTCAAACCTGTGGGGGAAGGTTTTTTGTCTGTGTTTCCTAGAGTCAACAAGGAAACAGGGCAGGGAAAATACATCTCCCTAAGCCATAGAATTTCAGGTTTGGAAGGGACCTCAGGAGGTTATCTAGTCCAACCTGCTGCTCAAAGCAGGACTACTCCCCAGACAGATTTTTGCCCCACATCACTAAATGGTCCCCTCAAGGGTTGAACTCACAACCCTGGTTTAGCAGGCCAATGCTCAAACCACTGAGCTATCCCTCCTCCTGTAAATAAACTAAGCATCTAGTCTTGCAAAAATAGTAAGTAATAGCAAAGAAATGCATTAGATTACCTTTGTTTTATCTTGTGAATTTTCCCTGTGCTAAGAGGGAGGTTTATCCCGGTTTTTGTAACTTTAAAGTTTTGCCTAAAGGGGAAATCCTCTGTGTTTTTTAAGACTTTTGTTATTCTGTAAAGTACTTACCCTCCTAATTTTACAGAGGTGATTCTTTTACATTTTCTTTAATTAAAATTCTTCTAAGAACCCAATTGATTTTTCATTGTTCTTAAGATCCAAGGATTTGGGTCTGTGTTCACCTGTACCAATTGGTGAGGATATTATTCTCAAGCCTTCCCTAGCAAAGGGGGGTGCAGGGCTTGGGGGAATATTTTGGGGGATTAGGACTCCAAGTGGTCCTTTCCCTGATTCTTTGTCTAAATCACTTGGTGGTGGCAGCATTCTGTTCAAGGCAAGGTGGGATTTGTGCCTTGGGGAAGTTTTTAACCTAAGCTGGTAAAAATAAGCGTAGGGGGTCTTTCATGCGGGTCCCCACATCTGTACCCCAGAGTTTGGCGCTGGGCGCACAAAAAGTTAATCTGGCACTGCTCACCCACCCACTCCTGTAATGGATCCCTAACCTCTGGCTGAGTTATGGTTTAATCATGGTTTAAAGACTTCAAGTTACAGAGAATCCACCATTTACACTAGTTTAAACCTGCAAGTGACCTGTGCCCGATGCTGCAGAGGACGGTAAAAAAACCCAGAATTTCTGCCAATCTGACCTGGGGGAAAATTCCTTCCCAACCGCAAATATGGTGAGCAGATAGACCCTGAGCATGTGGGTAAGACTGACCAGCCAGACATCTGGGAAAGAATTCTCTGTAGTAACTCAGAGCCCTCCCCATCTAGTGATGAGGGGCAAACTCTCTTGGGAAGGGGAAATCATTATGGTGTGCAACCTGTTCTTTTCAAGGTTTTAGAGATTTTTTAAAAGGATATTAAGATAATGTAGTGTGAATATAGGTGCGAGTGCTAAGATATAATATGATGCCTTTCGTTGTGGCTTGTAAATATTCTATATTAAACTTATACATAGGGATCATTCATCCATCACCAACATGCAGCCACTTCTTAGGTGAAGCACAGCAGCTGTTTAACAGCTGCAGGCTAAGACAGGAAGGGATGAAGAAATAGGCTCTTAAAATCAACTGCTGTACTCCTTGACGACGGGAGAGGAGCTAAAATTGACCTTCCTGGGTCAAATTTGGGGTACTGTAGACGCAGCGCTGTGCAAATCTATGGTATTGGCCTCCGGGAGCTATCCCAGAGTACTCCAATGTGACCACTCTGGACAGCACTTTCAACTCCGATGCACTAGCCAGGTACACAGGAAAAGCCCCGGGAGCTTTTGAATTTCATTTCCTGTTTGATCAGCCTGGCGAGCTCAGCAGAACAGGTGACCATGCAATCCCAGAATCGCAAACGAGCTCCAGCATGAAGCGAACGGGAGACACTGGATCTGATTGCTGTATGGGGAGAAGAATCTTTGCAGGCAGAACTCCAATCCAGCAGAAGAAATATATATATGCCAAAATCACACAGGGCATGGTGGACAGAGGCTACACCAGGGACACACAGCGGTGCCACGTGAAAATTAAGGAGCTCAAGCAAGCCTACCAAAAGACAAAGGAGGCAAATGGTCGCTCCAGGTCAGAGCCCCAGATATGCCGCTTCTATGATCAGCTGCATGGCATTCTAGGGGGGGACCCTACCACTACCCCACCACTGTCTGTGAACACCTGCAAGGTGGCAGCCTCACGCAACACGGAGGAGGATTTTGTGGATGAGAAAGAGGAGGAGGAGAATGCACAGCAGGCAAGCAGGGAATCCGTTCTCCCCGGCAGCCAGGACCTTTTCATCACCCTGGAGCCAATACTCTCCCAGGGCATATTGTTCCCGGACCCTAAAGGTGGAGAAGGCACCTCTGGTGAGTGCACATTTGTAACTACACTACAAGGGTTAAAAGCAATTGTGTTTAATGTTTGATTTTCCCTGAACAATTGGGATGCATTCGCGGCCAGTATAGCTACTGGAAAAGTCTGTTAACGTGTCTGGGGATGGAGGGGGAATCCTCCAGGGACATCTCCATGAAGCTCTCCTGGAGGTACTCTGAAAGCCTTTGCAGAAGGTTTCTGGGGAGGGCTGCCTTATTTCGTCCTCCACGGTAGGACACTTTACCACACCAAG